AAGCTAGAGGTGGAAATCAGGGTAGCTCAGGGTAGCAGCCCTCCTGAAATATGGGTGAGACATAAAAGAAAAGCCGCACTTACAAACAGAAGCTGGGGGCTGCCTTGTTCCTCACATGCTGCTTGCCTGGAATCTACAAAGGTCATGTGGTCGAGCCCCTCTGGGAAACCAATGGACCTTGTGAAATTGACCTTGACCCTTGGATGGAGGGTAAGGAAGTAAAAGAAGCAGGATTTCTTTGTTGGCTCACTCTGCGGGGAAACCCATAGTCCATTTCCTGAATGGCAACTATCTGGGACCTTTGATCTGGCTACATACTCATCTGCCTACCTGGTAGTTACCTTTGCCACATATGAAAAACCAAAACTACGGCAATGGAGTGCACTCTGACTCATTCCGACACTGTCAAGACCCCATCCCAGGATTTGTAAGTCTTAAGGGGAGCAGACAGCCTCAACTTTTTCCTGCAGAGCAGCTAGGGGGTGTGAACCACCAACCTTGAGGTTAGTAATGCCACCAGGGCTCCTCCTGTGGTTCCCTATTGCCTATGAAATTAAGCACACATTTCTCAGGCTGTGCACGCTGTACCCTCCACAGTACGTCCTTGTCCCTACTGAGAGAGCCTTTGCAAAGCCAGTCAGACTGAGCTCAGAGTCCTAAGATCCTGGCACACCTTTCTCTGCATTTGAATCACACACAGAGTCCAGCTTGTGGTTCTCAGTTCTCTACACATTAGCATCAAAGGGGGGGGGGTGCCTTTACAAGAAATAATCATTTCCCAGCCCATCCTCTATTTGAGAATCAATATTGGGCAATAGTAAGCATTTAAGGTGCTTTGCCTGTGCTGCCTGACCTAGGCTCTGGCCTCAGGGCAAGATGACAGATGCCCTTGTTTATAATAGTCCATTGATTGCAAATTCCCAAATCCTGCTTAGCCCAGGATGGTATGGGAAATAGACTCCTCACCATAGTCTCCACCAGCAGTCTTTTAAAGAAGCTTTGTGTACTTTGATATTTAAAGCAGTCACTAAAAGCAACCAACTGGTCTAATAAAGATTTTAAAGGGACAAAAGTCCTCCCATGGAGGGAGTAGGTGGCTTTAGGCAGCCTGGACTCGGGCTTCTGGCCTGTTGATGGCCCAGTTCAAGGTAGGGAGCTTGGTACTGAACCTTCTGGCAACCCAGAATCCTCTGGGGTGACTATCAGCAAACTATGAGCCTACACAGATGTCCATTTAACCAGAAACGTACTCTACAGTTTGGACGACCCACTCAAACACACAGAACCACCACTCCAGAGTAGATGAGGGCCGTCAATTCTGTGCCCCTACCCCAATTCTTTCATTTCATTCTTATCATCCTGTGAGCTAGTTCAACCAGAGCATCCAACCCACTGCTGTCAAGTCAGTGTCTGCCCAGATGACTCCGTGTATGGAGGAGGAGTTCTGTGTCCTCAGGGTTTACCTTGGCTCAGTTTTCTCTCAAGGCACATCTGGGTAAACTGGAGCCCCCAACCCTGATTATTGCTGCCAACTAGATTCAGAGGTGGCTTACCCAGCATAGCACAGCCAGTCAGTGGCAGAGCCGGGCTTTGAACTCAGGCTGGACTAACTGTGTGCCCAAGGCTGCTTCCACATGGCCCCCTGCACACACACATTTTTTTAATTTTAAAAAAATTTGTCATCAGGTCAATTCCCCCCGCCCCCCCATGATTAAAGCGTTTATTACGAAAGTTAACAAGTTGTGATGCCAGTGATAGTGGCCCTAGAGGACAAATTAGAACTTCCCTGTAGGGTTTCCATGCCTGTACTCTTTACAGAAGCAGACCCACAACTTTCTCTGGCAGAGAGGTTGGTAAGTTCAAACTGCTATCCTTCCCTTAGCCCTAAGTGCTTTAACCAATGAGCCATCAGCACTCCTGTCAATCCCATTAGAATGAAGACATGTGCATCCCATGTGGCTAATTCAGAAATAGCATCGAAACGATGGGCTCTCTAATGAGGGCCAATCCTGATCAAAGTCAGACTGGAATCCATGATCTCTTATCAAGCAAGTAACCCAATACCTGTCCTTAAAACCGATGGGCCTTTTTCTCCATTTGCAATTAATTACCTCGCTAACTGACTGAAAAACTCAAAAGTGCAAACTCACTGCCAATGAGTCAATTCTGACTTATCATGATCCTATGGGACAAGATAGGGCAGTCCCTGGGGGTTACCAAGATGTCATTCTTTATGGGAGTGGAAAGTCTCATCTTTCTCTGACAGAGCCTAACTTTCAGTTAGCAGCCCAATGCATTACCCACTGTATCACCAGGCTCCTTAATTGACTTGAAGGGATTCATATTTGTTCACAATCCAAAGAAAGGTGCTCCAACAGAATGTAGAAATTATCAAACAATATCATTCCTATCACATGCAAGTAAACTGTTGCTGAAGATAATTTCAAAATGGTGTCAGCAATACATCAATAAGACTACTAGAAATTCAAATCAGATTCAGAAAAGGACACGGAGCAAGGTATAATATTACTGTTCTCTACACAGTGTGGGAATTGTGCCCGATCTGACTCCACCACACTGAGGCGAAACATTAAGGGTGTGCAGCAGAACAGCAGACCAACAAGGTCCCTGGGGAAAAACAAAAATAGACTGTGGGGCCAGGGCATGGCACCCCATCAGACTTGACCGGAAAACACTCCTAAAGGTCAACAAGCAGACCTTGAACTATTTATAGGCATTACTTTTTTTTGTCGTTTTTTGTTGTTATTTTGTTTTGCTCTGTCTTGTTTTTGTGCTTGTTATTGTCTCTGCATGTCTATCTAGATAAGATAGGTGGGATAAATAATCTGGAGGAGAAAACAACGGGACTTATGGTTGGGGTGGGGGGGCATGGTAGAGG